TTGAACCACATTTCTATTTCTAATCTTTGGTTGATTAAAGGTAAGAGTTTCTTGGATTTGTCTACCTAGGCTGGTTTCAAACCTAGATCTCAGATCTCAGTCTCCTGAGCAGTGAAGATTAAGATCATAGGTGTGATCCAACAGCACCTGCTCCCATAGATTTTCTTTATATCAACAAATAAAAATTTGAGACAATCCCAGTAAGCAGTTAAAAAATACACTGACCTCTTCCCACAAAAAATTCAGCGCACATTTTAATAGTGAATATTAGAAGCATTTCCTTTAAAATCAAGCACAAGGCAAAAATGCCAACATTAGTGTTTTCTGATGGCTTATTTTATTAGAGCCAAGTTAGACAATCAAAATAAAAGAAGCTCTGATTTCAAAAGCAAGAAACAAAGCTTTAATTAATCCAACTGGTATGACAAGTAATTGCCAGTGGACAAATGATCAGAGCATGTAAGAATTCAGCTGGATGGTTAGATAAAAGATCAATCCACAAAATTATATTTCAGTTTTATTTGCCAACAAGCGCTAGGAAGCAATTTTTACAAAGAAATAAAGCTCAATGATGTACAGACCTGGAGCTATATCCTAGTACCAGAGGTAAGGAACCTCAATGAGATGAATAAAAATTAATAAATGAAGCCGGGCGCTGGTGGCTCACGCCTGTAATCCTAGCTACTCAGGAGGCTGAGATCTGAGGATCGCGGTTCAAAGCCAGCCCAGGCAGGAGAGACCGTGAGACTCCTATCTCCAATAAACCACCAGAAAAACCGGAAGTGGCGTTGTAGCTCAAGTGGTACAGCGCTCGCCTTGAGCTGAAGAGCTGAGGGACAGCGCCCAGGCCCAGAGTTCAAGCCTCACGACCGACCAAAAAAAAAAAAATTAATAAATGAATACAATTTGAAGAAACAAACCCAGAAATATATACAGATAGTCTATATGGGGAAACTGATAACATACTGAGGAAAATATGATCATCAAAACTATTTTTTTTGTCAGTCACTAAACTCTGGTATGGGCGCTGCCCCTCAGCACTTCAGCTCAAGACTAGTGCTCTACCACTTGAGCTACAGTGCCACTTCCGGCTTTTTTCTGCTTATGGGGTGCTGAGGAATCGAACCAAGGGCCTCATGCATGCAAGGCAAGCGCTCTACCACTGAGCCACCTTCCCAGCCCTCAAAACTATTTCTTTATGGAAAGGAAACCTAAAAACTGTGAAGTTGGTCAGTGTACCCACCCTAATCCTAAACAATAGTCTACAAAGTTTAAGAAGACTGATTCTAAAAACTAGAAACTAAAAACTACAAATATTAGAAAAAGTCCTCTAATAACTTGCAGATTTTCATTACTGTACAGCTATAGATTATATTACACATTGTGTTTATACTATGCAACAATATATCACATTAAATAAACCTCTTTATATATGGCAAGTTAATATAATGAAGTAGAGAAAAGGAGAATTCACACACTAAAAACTTCCCAATGAATAACATAGTTTTGCTGGTAGCTTTAGTATGGCCTTGTTTGTGATCACTGGGGTAAATGCCCAGAAGTGGGATTGCTGGGTCATAGGAAAGCTTTATGTGTAGTCTTCTGAGCAAACTCCATACTGCTTTCTAGAGTGGTTGAAAAAGTTTACATTCCCACCAACAGTGCAGTAGGGTTCCCTTTTGGCCACACCCTCTCCAGCATCTGTTATTATTAGATTTCTTGAAAAGAAGTAGTTTTGATGACAGGAAGACTCTCAGGAGGAAGGCTGAGTGGGAATCTCTAGGGAAGACTACATATGACATCTTTCCATTTTCTATTAGACACAGAATTGAGACCCCTTTGCACAATTACTTAATAAAAAATAAGCAATTTATATTGGGGGGGGGAGACTGAAGACTAGTCATAGCTGTTTAAATTGGGTATGGTAAAACAAATGACTTGTTGGAATGGATAAAATATTATGTTCATACTTTAAAAGTGATTGTAGCTGGGGAAAAAATCCAGACACAAAACAAACAATAAAAAACTCACCTTGTTCAGGCATAGTTATTATGCAACATAATTAGCTTTAAATGCATTGAGGACAGTTAACACTTATTCTGAGGAGATGTTGCAAAGAAACTAAAACAATCATTTGCTGGGTAGAATAGCACTGGCAATGTCTTCGCATTTGAACTGGATGTTGGCATCCAAGATTACATTATTGTTATGCTTTATAATTAAATATGTTATATGTATTAATTTAAGTGTCAAACATTATAAATGTCAAAGAAAAATGACGCTTACTCAAACACCTGTATATCTCTCAATTGATCTATTTATTTCTGTCTAGTTTATTTTATTCATATTCTGTTACCATGTCTATGACAATCACTAACAGTTAAATCTTGATCAATAATTTAAAAAATGGTGTCAAGTACAGAAAATGTTAAGAATAAGTAGACAGCACTGTAAGAGAGAACACAATAGAACTTTGGAGAATTGTGTGAACATGCATGCTTAAGTTTAACACTGAAGTGATTAAAATAAAAATAAATCCAATTAAAATTGACTGATTTTCATTCACAAGCAGAGGAAAGGGTTAAAATCGGTGCATTAATTTAATCTAGTACACTTCTTTATCATATTTTGTATGATTGGCAAAGTCAATTTCTATGTTAGTATATTATACTAGCAGATTTATCTCTCTAATATTAACAAACAGGGGAAGTATCTCTTTTAATCTATCAATGAAGAAGTGTTTCACCTTTTTAAGAGCTTATTGATCTGGTAGATAGTTTTGAGAATAAAGTAGTTACTTGTACTAATAACTATAAAAAGGAAATGGGGAGAAAGAGTCTCTACTAACTTAAGGATCATAAAATCTCCAATGGAGACAAAGCCTTATAATCATTTGCAGCATTAAGCCTAAAATGCAAACAAATTCACCCAAACTTTCATGGTAAAGCATATCCCCAAAGAATGCAAGAAATAGAAAACATGAGCTGTAAATCATGCTCCAAAAACAACAAATGATCCTGCATTTTCCTTATACATTCATTCTTAAATAGATGAAATGAGTTTCCTTTAAGAAAAATAGGTCACTTGGTTAAGAAAAGATTTCAGAAACCTCAATACTTCTTTTATTCAAAGACTTTTTTCCTTGTGTTGAGAAAGAGGAATTGATATTATTCCTTACATTTACCTGGAAGAAAAACTGTTTTATTTTTAACTTGCCCAGAGCTTCTGTGTTAAAAACGAAAGCCAAATACTAATTCTCTGCAGTGACAGGCTCAGAACAATGCCCACTTGGTATTCACCCTCGGTCTGAGCTCATGCAGCCTGCCAACTGGAGCCCACTCAATTATGTTGAAGCTCATTACCCAAGGTCTTTCTCTAGAACCTTTGTTCCATTTCCTCCTTCCTATCAGGCATTCTGTTCACTTTTGTGAAAACTTTCTGCCATTGGAGTAAGAAAGAAAGAAGAGAGACGAGCTACATTTATTCTGCTACTCGAAGCGGCTCTAAACCCTTACAAGATGTGAAAAGAGCTGTGACAATGGAAGTGTAAAAAGCAAGGGCTCTCCAGCCCCAGCGTCTCCAAGCGTCAAGGCCACGGCAGTGTGGACAAGTGGGGAGAGAATGCTCAGGCGGCTTCACCACGGGACGTCATGCTGACATCTCCACCTTCTCTAGCATGGCTGTTCTGAAGCAATGTTCCTGAAGGCTCAGATCTGATAGGGAGAGAGGTTGAAGACACTTCAAGGCTCTCTGCTGTGCATCACTGCACAGATAGGAACACCAACTCCAAGCAATCTTGGGAGTCCATCCAATGAGAGAGAACTGGGATAAGCAAGATTTTATTATCCCTAAACATAGTAACCAGTATAGAAAAACAAATTTTGAAAAAGCTTCTTTATTGGAGGTTTGTTTAACTAAATTATCATTAAATGTTCACTACAAATAGAAGACGTAACAAGGAAAAATAAATAATAGATCATGAAAAATAAATGAGCACTTTTCTTCTTCACTAAGCTAGAAGAGAAATAATTTGACTTATTAACAGACAGCCTACCATCTCCTCTCCACTACCTGCCTTCTCCATGCTGATCTGCATCCAAATTTGCCTATTACATTTTAAGTTTTTACAAAATATATCATTGTGAAATTAATGAGTCAATACAAAGCAACACACTACCTTGCTTCCAATCTTGTAAATGCAAAGGCAATTAAATCCTCTCAAGCTCTGCGCAGTCCCATGCACGCAGATGAACATGTAGGCACACACACATATAGAGGTATGTACTTGACTTCATTTGTCTTAATGAAGACAACAGGATGATATTTTACATGTTACATTGTAAGTTCATTTTATTATTTTTTTCCTTTTTTTTATTGTGAAAATACTGTACAGAGGGGTTACAATTACATGGGCAAGATAATGAGTACATTTCTTATCAAGCATTGTAGCTTCCTCCTTTGTTTTCCCTTCCCATCCCTTTCCATCCTTCCTCCCCCCCTTTCATTTTATTATTTAACAATCAGTCATCACCACCAACTGAAATAATGACTATTTTTATTAAAATTGCATAATATCCCCAAACACAGATTTACTAAAATTTATTTGACAATTCTCACTGCTTGGTATTGTTCTGATTGTTGCAGGCTTTGTTCATTACAGAAAACACTGTGACCATCGCAGGGCACACATGTGTGAAGCAACACCTGTACCATACTGGACTGCTACAGGGAAGATCATTGGATAGGACTTCCCAGAGCTGCTATGGCTTTCCCACTCCTACTAGCAGCATGTAAGCATATCAGTATGCTTCACAGCTAAAATATTTCATAAAGCAAAGTCCATAAGATTGTGGGTACCATTTAGTCCAAAGTAATCAGGAATTACCAATTTCTAATTTTGTGATATGTTTACATTGATTATGTTAGCCCACAATTATGAGCTATTGATATGGTCACCTCTAACAAGAATACAATCTATATTGGAGTTGATTTTAATTTACCTTTTTTAGAAGCTTCTGCACCATTAAGTTCTTTTTGTGCTTCTTCAATTTTGTCTGAGGAAAAAGGAGAAAAAATTATAAATCAACCAGTCATTACAAATAAAGAATGTAGTAACACAACTCCTTTATAAGTAGTGACAGATATAAAATAGTAAACGCTCACTGAATGAACACATTCATGAAACAAATATGTGTAAATAGTTCAAACAAGGATTCCCCTTTAAATTGATAATTTTAACAACTTCTTAGCCACATGGACCAATGTGAACTGTTTTCATAATGCAAATACTTATACTTTAAATTCACAACTACAGCTATAAATGTTCTGTTGTCTAAGAAGAATATCTAAAAGTACTATTTTTCTTACAAGTGAAATACTCAAAAGAGAATTTTTTAGAAATATAATAAATGCTTACTAGATTAGCAACAAGACCACACAAGTTCATAGAAGGTGCTATGGTTTAGATATGGTTGGTTGAAGGGTGTCCCATGAGGTTCAACTAAAATAAGCCAGGTCCCGGAAGCTAGCAAAAGCTAGGAAAGGGGTAAACGAATGGAATCCTTAGGTCATTTCGAGGGACACTATCCCCAGAAGAGATTAAGATTATTCTTATGGGACTTGAGTTCAACTGGCTACTTATCAGCTTTGCAGGCTTCTGGTCTTGCCACATGATTGCGCTCATTCACATGACTCCACCCTGGTGTCATCTACAACGTGGTAACACAGCCTGAGGACTCTCACCAGAGCCAGCACTGTAATATTGGACTGTTGGCCTCAAAAACTATGGATTAAATAAACTTCCTTCCTTCAAGAAGAAACCCATCAGAGGCATATCATTAGAGTAACAGAAACTAATGAACAAATACTAAGATGTGAGGCAACCGTAGAAGACAGAAATAGATGGAAAAATACAGGAAATGATGAGCTGCAGAGTAGCATGAAGAAAATAAGGTCTGTCCTTTGGTAACAGCACAGAGCACCTTTGAAGTGATAGTGCAGATCATGGCATCAGCAGACAATATATCAAACTGAATGCAGAACAGCTTCAGCTGCACATAGCTGTGAAGAAATGGTGTATCCCAGAAGTAAAACCAGAGTTGGGTGAGATGTCTTGAAAGAGTGTGGCAGGAAGGCTGTTATTCAATCTGTGGCTTTAGGCACAATTGGATCTTGTAAATATGCCCATGTTCTATTTTGGTAGCAATCAAGTTGAATTTTTTGAGTGTGTATATGTACATAATACACACAGATATATTTATGATATATATAATTTTATTGATATATATTACACAGGTGTGTGATGACAACAGTAACCAATTTCAACTTTAATAAAACGCATTGAGCATTTATTATAATGATGGAAAGTAGAAAATCCACAGGGTACTACTTGGTACAGAAGTGAACAAATAACATTTGGTGCATATAACATTTTAGATAACATTATATGTCAGATATCCAATGAAAGCATTGTTTAGATGTTTCATCAGTAATGTACACTATCAGTCTCTGCCTTCCAATTATCTCCATGTAGTCCCAGATACTGTCCCCAGTATAGTATTAAACTTTACTGCCCCTGGTCAGGGAAGGTTCAAGTTCCAAAAAAGCATCCTACTCTCAATAAACCCCATCATGGGCCTTTCAAACTCACGTGACATGCAGAAGCTGGGGGCTGGGAACATAAAAGGATGGTATAGTGTGCTTAGCGTACACAGGGCCCCAGGGTTCCATTCAAAGCACCAATAAGAAAGGAATCAAAAAGTGATCTGAACTTTTACCATCAAGAAACTATAACTGTTAAGAGTAGATTGTTTTATCCTGATTTAAACTTTACAGAATGTATACATTTACTTAAACATCATGTTGGCCAGTAAACATATAATTTTATGTACCAGTTAAAAATACATAAAATTAGAAATCAGTGCAAAAACTGCAGAAATGACCCCAGTATTCAGCAGGACCTTTATTTCAATGAAAGAAAGAGCTAAGGCATGAATGGAAACTACATGAATGCAAGTAATGGGCTACTTCTTAACAAATAAAATACACTTAAGTACACTGTAGACATTCAAACTGTAAATAAACAAATAATATAATTTAAATATATAGTCCTTGAGAAGTAGTTTTATTACCAACCACTGTTATTTCTAACAGTCCATCTGAACTTAATCATAAATAATAAATATGCATACAATATATATTTACAGTAGTTTAAGGTGTGTTTTATGCACACCTAATTTGCTATTTATAATAAAGGCAGGTCTATTTTAATAGGATCACTTATAGTTCAAAGCAACAAAAGCTCAGGATTTAACAAATATCTAGGGAATCAATTATCATTATGCTAACGTTGGTCATATTCTATAGCCATTATAGCAAAAAACTAATGGCCAATAGCTAGGTGCTAAAATAATATTTATCAAAATGAACTCCAGAAAATGGAAACAAGAAGTTTTTATTCTTTGTTGCTGTTTTTCTTTTCTTTTCCTTTTGTCTCCTTTGTTCCAATTTGTTCCTTTACCTGTCTTTAGAAGGTAGGAGGGAGGGCACAGAAATGATGGTATAAAGGGTGAAAAAATGCAGCAGTGATACTAGATACAATGTTGAAGATGAACTACATAACTGTGGGTGGAGACAGGAGAGAAAAATGGGGAGGGAGTCAGGGAAGGCGTGACATTGTTCAAAAAAAAATGTCCTCTTTATCTGACATATAACAGTAACCCCTCTGTATATAACCTTTACAATAAATAATAAAAATATATTAAAATGCAGAAGTCAAATCAGACACTCTGAAAACATTACAGGATGGAATAGGAGAAACCCTAGGTCTCCTTGGCACAGGCCGAAATTTTAATAGAGACCCAGAAACACAACTAATCAAAGAAAGGTTGGACAAATGCGATTGCATGAAATTGCAGAGCTTCTGCATGGCAAAGGACAAAGCTCGAAAGATCAATAGAAAGCCCACGGATTGGGAGAAGATCTTCACTAGCCATACAACGGACAAGGGTCTCATATCTAAAATATACCTGGAACTCAAAAAATTAAATCCCCCAACAACAAATCCTCAAAGAAACAACTGCTCAATAAATAAGTGGGCTAAAGACTTAAAGAGAAACTTCTCTGAAGAGGAAAGAAGGATGGCCAATAGACACATGAAGAAATGTTCATCCTCCCTAGCCATAAAAGAAATGCAAATCAAAACAACATTGAGATACCACCTCACCCCAGTTAGAATGGCTATAATCAAGAACTCTAATAACAACAGATGCTGGAGGGGATGTGGACAGAAGGGAACCTTACTGCATTGTTGGTGGGAGTGTAAACTTGTTCAACCAATTTGGAAAGCAGTGTGGAGGTTCCTCAAAAGACTCCACATAGAGCTCCCCTATGACCCAGCAATCCCACTTTTGGGCATTTACCCAAATGAGCACAAACAAGACCATACTAAAGCTACCAGTTCGACTATGTTTACTGAAGCATTATTTACCATAGCTAAGATATGGAACCAACCCAGATGCCCCTCAGTAGATGAATGGATCAAGAAATGGAATTCTATGCCTCCAATAGAAAGAATGACATTGCTCCATCTGTTAGGAAATGGAAAGACTTGGAAAAAATTATATTAAGTGAAGTAAGCCAGGCCCAAAGAAACCTAGGTCCCATGGTTTCCCTTATTTGCAATAACTAGCATATGTCTGAGACAAGCAGAAATGGTCAGATAAGTTGATGTTAGATGAAATGAACCCCATGATAAGGATTCAAATGTTTTTTTTTTCTGTCTTGCAATTGTTTCTAACATATTTATAAGATGATTTCTTTGTTGCTTTGTATGTCCCCCACAGTATAACCCCTGTTTTCACTGTATTTGATGTTGGTATAATTTGTGGAGGGGAAGGGAAAAAACAAATTGTTTAAATAGGGATACAGGTGGACCCATTGCAACAATGAGATGTATAAGACATTATGTCAAAAAATGAACTTTACAACTTTGGGGGGGGGGAGAAAGGGGGGAGGGATGGGGTTGTGAGGGAAGATGGGAAGGGATGGGAAGGGGAAACAAAGGAAGAGGCAACAATGCGTGATAAGAAATGTATTCATTACCTTGTAATTGTAACCCCTCTGGTAACGTATTTTCACAATTTTTTTTTAATGCAGAAAATAGCCTTGGTTTCCATTTGAAAACAAAATGGAAGTCTCTGTTTTAAAATTTTTCAGCTATATTACCCTGGTCTTGATTATGACAGTATATAAATGTGACAACTAGTTTGGAACACCTTTTGCATTTGTGTGTAATAAGCATCTATTCAAATGCTTTTACCTGATGCTCCAGTTCAATAGGTGAACACAACCACCAATTAGCGAGCTTATCATAGCCATTATAAAAGCATTTGCTTCTATTCAAGTTCTGTTTATAGTTAACCTGTGTTTTATAATTCTGGTAAATACGATATGTTTTTAAAACAGTCTCCAAAATTTCAGAGAAAGTGACCAATTTCATATGCTCTTAATGGGTGAATACAAAACAATGTACTGATATTTAAGGAAATATGGACTGAGATTTTTTTCCACTGTAATACTGGGCTAGAAACACATATTCACATTCCACGCCATACACGCAAATATAAGTAGTAAGTGTGTTAATCAGCTCAGAAACAAACCAACCTATACTACTTTGTATCTTCCTCTATTAAAAAGGAAAATCAATGTCCCTTACCAACAATACTAATTTCAAGGCCCACTGCAGGACTGTGAACCTGTCACTTGAAGATCATGACATGAGGAGCAACTTTGGACACACCCTTTGCATACATCTTGCCCTGAAGGTAACAGGGCAATAACATCCCTCCACAGAAGACCTGTCTTAATGGGGCAGGGAATGAACAAAGGGCAAGAAAACTTAAGATTCTGAAAATACACTCCCCTCCATATGATCTGGGTTAACAATTTCACAAAAACCACATATTCTGAAACAAATGAAAAGTTTGGTTTACAGAAGATTTATGTCTGTCCACATTTCTGCCAGGGTATCTTCTCTCACTGCGCTGCTAGACAC